CTTTTGATTGGTTCCTCACCTTGCACAACCCAAAAGAAAATGAGAACCTCCAGAAGAAAATGAGTATTGTTGTAGAAGGTTTTAAAACAAGTGCAAGTCTCCAGTAACCTTCTTTATGTATCTGTGTCTTTTATGAACTTCAATGTTCATATTATTCGACAAATCTAGTAGTCTTCATTTTGTACAGAGTTAACGGAGTTTGCAAGAACACGTATTGTATATAAAATGGCATTTGCTTGTTTATTCTCGGTTGCCTATGCTTTGCCAATTCCTTAACATCTGTTTGTGTGGTGATTTTTGAAGCAAAAATCATCTTTTGATTTTGAACTTAATTCTTTTTATTCTATGATGAAAGATATTTTTCATGGGGAGAAAGTAGAAGATTTTGTATTGTTGTCACTATGTAGACTTTTAGTAGATGCTTTTAATATATATTTTGTTTACTAATTTTACGGATTGCAAGCTTTTGGTTGATAGTTTTGTGAGAAAAAACAACCCGGAGTGGGAGGTTGATTTGGTTGTACAGGATGTGCTAGTCTTAAGTAAGTTTTTTATGTTTTTATCTGTAACTAAGGTGGATAGGGCTCTTGTTGAGCCAGCACACCAACTGGCAAAATCTGTAAAACTTCTACCTCATGCATAATATGTTGTGCTGCTTTGCTTGATTCTAAAAAAAAAACATGTTTACACACTATTTTTTTTTTTAATTGGGGGTGTTTGTATTTTTTGTTTCTGAAAAAACCAACCAAACGGATTTTTGAGAATTTTTTTTGAAAAGTGATCCTGGAAAAAGACAACCTAGCATATTTCTAAGAATTTTTTTGGGAAAATCTGTTTGGTTTGATTACTTCCAGAAATGTGTTTGTAAAGAATATTTTAGAAAATTATTTTTGAAACACAAACCAAACAAGCCCATTAAATCTGGTGATAATCTTGCAGATCCATTAACTAAGGCCTTAATAAGAGATAGAGTCTGGAATACATCAGGAGAGATGAGGTTGAAGCTCGTTGAATATAGTAAGAGCCATGTATGAGGATACTCAACATAGGGACCAGAAATCCTGTAACTAGGTTCAATGAAAAGAACAATCATATGATGGCCGTGAGAAATGTACTAAATTAATTTTTATCCATCCCTATGATGTAAGTGCATTTATCCTGTAATGTTGTAGATGTTGAGTTATTAAAAAAAAAAAAAACTCTTGATGAATTTCTACAGCTCTTATTGAATGAGGTGTCTTAGTTACGGGAGCATGCTTGACAGAATTCACCTATACGAGTGTGGTAGTGGGACTGCTACCTATGAGATTTGGGTTAATTCTCAAACACACTCATGAATCCTAGGATCGCACAAGACCGTAATGTGCTGGTTATTAAAACTTATATGAACACTTGGAATATTATGTGTGTGTAATAATTATTTATTTTCCTTAAGCAGTCATAGTTCAATGCTGAGCATATTATTGGCTCTGGAGTAGATATTATTGTTTCACTAATGGAAGTTCAATGCAAAGCACACCTACCATGATGCATAATATCCTTATTTACCTAATAATCTCATATTTTGTTACATATAATATTAAAATAGGTGGGAGAATGCTAGCAAATATTTTAATATTATAATATGTTATAGATTATATTATTTTCTTGGGTTCCAAGCAATTTGTTCTCCAAGCTACCTTTCTTTGCCTCTAAGAAAGTTTCTTTCTCTTAAAGTTCTCTTTTCTTTTCCTCCAAGTAAACCCTTTTCTTGCCCACCAAGTTTCCTCTCCTATAAATTGAGCTAATCTCATGTTTACACACTTTTTTTTTTTTAATTGGGGGTGTTTGTATTTTTTGTTTCTGAAAAAACCAACCAAACGGATTTCTGAGAATTTTTTTTGAAAAGTGATCTTGGAAAAAGACAACCTAACACTTTTCTAAGAATTTTTTTGGGAAAATCTGTTTGGTTTGATTACTTCTAGAAATGTGTTTGTAAAGAATATTTTAGAAAATTATTTTTGAAACACAAACCAAACAAGCCCATTAAATCTGGTGATAATCTTGCAGATCCATTAACTAAGGCCTTAGTAAGAGATAGAGTCTGGAATACATCAAGGGGGGGTGAGGTTGAAGCCCGTTGAATATAGCAAGAGCCATGTATGAGGATACTCAACCTAGGGACCAGAAATCCAGTAACTAGGTTCAATGAAAAGAACAATCATATGATGGGCGTGAGAAATGTACTAAATTAATTTTTACCCATCCCTATGATGCAAGTGCATTTATCCTGTAATGTTGTAGATGTTGAGTTATTAAAAAAAAAAAAAAAAACTCTTGATGAATTTCTACAGCTCTTATTGAGTGAGGTGTTTTAGTTATGGGAGCATGCTTGACAGAATTCACCTATGCGAGTGTGGTAGTGGGACTACTACCTATGAGATTTGGGCTAATTCTCAAACACACTCATGAATCTTAGGATCGCACAAGATCGTAATGTGCTGGTTATTAAAACTTATATGAACACTTGGAATATAATGTGTGTGTAATAATTATTTATTTTCCTTAAGCAGTCATAGTTCAATGCTGAGTATATAATTGGCTCTGGAGTAGATATTATTGTTTTACTAATGGAAGTTCAATGCAAAGTACACCTACCATGATGCATAATATCCTTATTTGCCTAATAATCTCATATTTTGTAACATATAATATTAAAATAGGTGGGAGAATCCTAGCAAATATTTTAATATTATAATATGTTATAGATTATATTATTTGCTTGGGTTCCAAGCAATTTGTTCTCCAAGCTACCTTTCTTTGCCTCTAAGAAAGTTTCTTTCTCTTAAAGTTCTCTTTTCTTTTCCTCCAAGTAAACCCTTTTCTTGCCCACCAAGTTTCCTCTCCTATAAATTGAGCTAACCTCTTATCTTGAAAAAAAAAAGAAGTATTTGTTATTTTATTATTTTTGTGTGAGATTATCAGGCAAAGAAATAAATGGTGTATGTGATGAAACTTTGGGTGTAATATTAGTAAACCATACGACTTAGTCGGACTGTTGTATCCTGGGGGGACAAGTCAAGGTTTTTTCTGCTACACCAGTGTGAAGCTTTGCCTAACCGCGAAGGACTTGAATTTCCTTAAAAAGAGCGAATGTCCTGCACTTTAACCCTTTCAATAGTTATTGTAATTTTTATTGTTTATATTTTCTGATATTTTATTTATAATTATCACTAACAAATTGTTATCACAATTCCATATCATCCAATACCCTAAATTAATGTAAAATAGAAAAAGTAACCTAATTTTAATCCACAAATCTTTAGCCGTGGCCCAACTCCTCACTTTAAGGGACTGCATAGTGTTATCATCAATAAAGCGCCCAGTATCCTTTATTTGGTTTGAAGGTAGGAATGACAATTTTTTCCACTCCATTTCACGTCCACATCCTCCCTCCACCACGTCTTCTATGGATTTTCTCCGCCCCACTACAAAAAAATATTTATTTGATCAGTGATTATTTATTTATTTATTTATTTATTAATTAATAGAAACAATGAAATGATACATGAATGAAAGTTAGATCATCAATACAAAAAGAGAGCTGCAACCAAGATCATGGTGCAGTCTCCCCATTCCAATGAGAAAATGATGGGAACGGATTTTGTTTTCCTTGTCCATTTTATCTGACTCCACTATGGTTATATTTATTAAATATATTTATATATATAATGTATATAATTTAATTTTTTATTACAATAAAATTAAAATATAAATTTTTTTTTTAACATTCATTTTCACTTATTTATTTCTCACGTTTTGTTTTTTAATTCTTCTAAAATATAAATTATTATACGTAATATATCATATTATGTATAATTTTTATTACTATTCTTATTCTTAAAATTACAAAATTAACCTATCCCATGTCCCACTTTTGCCACCCCCAATTCATCCCTCCCTCAATGTGATTCGAAGTGAAAGTAGATGAAACGCGTCTCATTGTCATTCTTATTTATAAAAACTCTAACTCTATCCTACCGTTCAAGTATAAAGATTGAGTTTTTGTTAAATTTTTAATTTTCAAATTTAAGGGTTCGTTTGGAATGTGGATTAACTTTTTGATTTTTTAGTTATTTTAATCTGGGGCTAAAAAGTCTCGTTTGGGAAAGATTTTTTTAATTTTTTTGACTTTTGTGAGAGAAAAAGTAAAACAATTATGATCTAGATGTGATATTTTTTTTTATTAGGCTAAAAAACCTTCTTTTTTTTTATGACTATTTTAACCAAAAAGTCTCACTTTAGCTTTTGCCAAACAAAGGCTAACTCAATTGTAAAAAATATTATTATTATAGTAAAAAAAAATAAAATAAAAATTATCCAAGTATAATGCTCACATTCAAGCTTCAAATTTTTTTTTTCTTTTTGTGAATTTTGACCGAAATAAATAAATAAATCCAACTCAATCAGTAATATTATAAGCATTAATAACATTAAATTTGACAAACCAGCAAGGAATCTAGGGGTTGTTTGAGATGTTCTAAATAAGTTTACTTTTTAACTTTTTATAAAATATGAATTGAGTTTAAAGTGATGTAGTAGAGAGGTGATAAGACTTAAATAATATAATATAACTTAAATAGAATAATAATTTTTTAATTTTTTTTAAAGATACCAAACTTAAACTTGTAGTGTCATTTTTAATTTAATTGAAAAGAAAAGGAACAAGTCAGAGGTTGGAAAATTGGAACGGCCCAAAACGTTACCTTTAGTGCTATTAATAATAATAATAATAATTAAGTTGAAATTTAAAATTAAAAAGCTATTTTCCTTCCCCAAATATTCTTATATTTTATATTCAATTATTTACTAACTTTCTAATTTTTATTATAAATTTTCAAGACGGACTTGAAAGCATTTCCTTAACCAAAATTAATACTTTCAATTTTACAAATTAAAATATTGAATATTAATTAATTTCCTAATATTTAATTATAATTCCGTTTATTTTATTTTCTATTTTCTTCTTTATTTTCCTGCTTTGCTCCATTTTCCTGCAAAACCCTTGTGAAGAATTTCTGAAACCAAAGAAAATTTTGATTCTTTTTTATTTTTATTTTTGGAAAATATCACCATTGAAGCTCTGTGCATACTCTGCAATGGCCGAGTTTTAGCCGTAGGGAAGTATTGCAGTGTTTATTAGTTTCAGTAATTTCAACTGTAGAAGTTGGTGTTGTTAGATTTTGATCTTTGTTCTTTTTGTTTAGTGTCTACATTTTTGGGGTTTATTAAGTTTGAGTTGGGTTTTCTATAATTTTTCTGGGTCTTGATTTTGTGTTTGTATTCTTTATTAAAAAAACAATTTTGATTTTTTTGAGAAATGTTGGATTGTTAGATGGTTGCTTTAATCATTTTGGGTTCTTGAGCTACTAATTGATCTCATTTTTTTTAATAATAAATTTTATGGGTATGTTCTAAGTTTTCAATTGTTTCTAGGATTTTAGGTCATTGGAATTTTTGTTTTGGTTCTATGAATGGAGGGAAAAGAAGGGATTAATAGTTCTAGGGTTACAGTAGCTCCAGAGAGCTATGGAATGGCTGTGAGGAGTGAAAATCCCAGCCAATCAAGTGGATCAGCGGTGGTGGCGCCGGTGGCTGTGACAGCGGCAACACCAGTTAGTGTGGTGGCACCGGGGACGGCGGGGAAGAAGAAGAGGGGCAGGCCAAAGAAGTATGGACCAGATGGGTCACTGAGGGTAGCATTATCACCAATGCCGATATCGGCCTCGATTCCGCTGACCGGAGACTTCTCTGCTTGGAAACAGGGAGGAGGGAGGCCTATTGACTCATTCAAGAAGAAACATAAGTTGGAGTTTGAGACTCTGGGTAATGGATTTTTATTATTTCCTCTTTTAGTTTTTAGCTTTCTAAATTTTTGTGTATCTGTTAATGCATCTATTGATTTATTAGTGTTACATTTGATATAATGATCTGTTGCTATAATTAGAGTAGTCTCTATCATTGTTGTGTAAGATTCCATGTCAATTATTGATAGTTGAAATTTAAAAATATTGTTTTGCATGAAACTAGATCTATTGATGTGGTTTTGATGTATCCATTGGTCTTGGGGTTCAAGACAAGATTTAGGACAGATTTGAGGATATTTGATAAATTTGAGGTGGGAGTGGCGCCCTTATCTTAGATACCCTCGGGATCTAGAATCTATGGCAAACATGACACTGTAGAGGAGGTGCGATTTTGTTCACTGACCCGTCAACCTGTCAGATGAGGTGGGTGAACAAAATTGTTTTTGTGCTAGAGGTGTCAGTGTTGTTTTTATTGTTGATGTCGAGTGGTCTGATGTGACCAGACTCTCAACTGTCTTCACTCAATAATTGCACGAGTAGTAAGAGGCAAAACAAAAATAAACAATATAAGTAAGCTAATGATAGGGAGCAAAATAGTAGAACATCAGTTTTCATGTACAGGTCCACAGTTGGAAGAATATTCCTCCTGATGGGATTCAGTTGACAGTGCTTCGCATGTAATTTAACCCTCAGAATTTTAACATTTTACTTGAAAAGACCCCATGATGCAGTGGAACAAATTTACCTTTTGAAACCAACTGAAAGGTTCTCTAATTTAACATCAAAACTAACACGAATTTCTGAATTCTAAAAACAGCACTAAAGAGTAGAAGATGGCCATATTGTTTCAATAACACAATATTATGTTCATTTTAACACACTGGAGCATTTTAAAATGAAGGATTGCAAATGTAAAGTACAATTTGATTAATTATGTCATGAAGTGGTCTTGTCATGCAATATGGGATAATCATCTAAAAAGGTGTCTGAGAATCCTAATAAGATTTTGTCCTTATCTACAAAGCCTCACGGTCTAGAGCAGAAATTTTTATGATTAGTATATGACCAAATCAGTAATACTAACATAGTGCAAAGATAAACATGCTGATGCCTAAAATAAAATGAATTTTTAAGAGAGGTAGGTGTTGATTACTTGTGAACATTGTGGTCATATATGCATATTGGCGGCTAAACCATATACATTTTGCTGTGCATGTCCTCTTATTTGATTGACTAATGTTTTTTGGTATTGAGATCTTGTGGTTTTTGTTTTTGTTTCACAGCTTTAGGTCAAAATTGTGTATTTTTTTTTTTGAATGTAATTTCAATTGGGCAACTTCAATGCAAACCTGACTACTTTCCTTTCAGCAACTGTTTATTTATCAATGTATTTTATTTACTTTATGTTTCTTTTGGTAGGTGAGCGGGTAGCTTACTCGGTCGGTGCAAATTTCACGCCTCATGTGATCACTGTTAATGCTGGCGAGGTATTTCTATCTATCAGTAAAATCTAAATTTTGTTTATCTGTGATTGTTGTTGGAGCCTCCCCTCAATTCTTCTTCTTCTGAATAGTATTATATCAACTGGATCCTTCTCTAGGTGGAGAATTTGCTGGATGAATTACAATTTCAGTTATTATTTATTTATTTTTTGCTGGATGAATTACAATTTCAGTTATTATTTATTTATTTTTTGCTGGATGAATTACAATTTCAGTTATTATTTATTTATTTTTTGGAATATATATATATATATTTTTTATCATGGAACCTCAGCTGGATATATAAGTGTGAAAAGTGAAAATGTCTGTCTGGAGCATGTAAAACAGTCTCTCTCCAACCCCCCTCATCCTTTGAACTATTTCTTATGTATTTGGCTTCAAGTACATGAGAGTAATCTTGATGGAAAATGCATATACTTAACGAGGATAGTAACAATTGCTTATGCAACATCATTGTGTGTGTGTGTTTTTTTATTTATTTATTTATTTATTTATTATTTTTTTTTTTTTTGGGACCTAAAATTCACTTTCATTTATTGTAGAGTAAATATTATGAGGCTGCAATTTTCCTTTAACAATGCCCTGTAGCTTCTGGGTTTTATTTTTATTTTTTATTTATTTTTTTTTGTCTCTAAGTGCTTTTAACAAATATATTGCTGTCGTAGTTTGTGGGATTTTTGGAATATATATATCTATACTGAGCAAGATAAAAAAAACTGTATCCGTCAGATAACCAATTAGAGGTTAGGTTACTATAATTCAAGACACAGCAACCACTATTAAATAATCAATAGTCTTAGGACTCTTATCATCCATTGCATGTTATTCACATTACAGACACACCCTCCTACCCAGGGGTGGCCCAACTCTCGACGAGGCCTATAGTGAAATCTCAGTTGAGGACTTTTTATATTTAAATAATATTCTTAAAAGCTTTGGATAATAAGGGGTATTTTTTTTATGTGTCTAAGGAAAAGAATTTTGTTTTCACTAGGCCTGGAGGATTTTTGCAAGCCTCTGCTATTGAGGGCCTTTGAACAAGGAGAATTTTCGTCCAACTTTATATTTGGGGCCTTTGGACTAGGAATTTTTTTCTTGTTCTTTGAACAAGGAGGGATTTCTTTGGCTTTTTGACAAATAATTTTTATTTTTATTTTTATTAGCCTTTGAACAAGGAGATTTCAAATTTTTTTTTTTAATTGACTTTTAGCCAGACTTAAATCTGGAGGCCTTTTGAAAATGTGATGGGCTCAATGGCCTAGGGGTTGGGCCGGCCCTGCTTATGAGTCATACCTGTAAACCAATTTGGACATTTAAAATGGCTTCCATTTATGTTGTTCGCTTCTGAAATATGCACGACAGTATGTTGCATTTTATTATGTAACAATAATGCAGAGTTAATATTTTTTTATTGGTTGATTATCTGTGTGAAGTACATACCTTTTATTGTTGTGTTAACCTCATAATTTTTTAAGTTGCTCATCAAGGATCACCTCACTAAGACACAAGTGGCAGAGCCATTGTGTGCCCAGGACTCTTAAAACCCTACTTTTTACAGTAGCTCTATTTTGTGTATATGTGATCTGACATTTCTGTTACCTTAGCCCCAAGTGGCCTAGACAAAAAAGAAAGAGAAAGACATGTAAACTTCCCTTTTGCATCTCTCTGAATTTGCAAAAGGCCAAACTTAAATAATAATGCTATAATGACCACATTGTTTCACCACATGTTGTTTGCAACATGATATTTTATTAAACTAATACAATAAGGACATATGAAATGGTAAATAACTTCTTTTTCTTTTCCTTTTTTTTTTCATTCTTGGTGCAACGGTAGACAACTTTTGGTATACAAATGTAGTCATTGTAACATTATTAAATGATGAACCGAAGTAAACAACACCACTATCTCTCTCTCTCTTTATATATACTAGTGGTTGGATACGTGCGTTGCACGTGGCACATGATTTTTCATAAATTGTTAATACTATAATTATGCGTCTCTTAAATTAGTATGTGATATATATACAAAGTATAGAGACTTGTATGGGTAAATTGATCTGTATTTAAAATACAGCTAAGCAATAAATGAGTACATACTCGCTGAAAAATTTAAATGATAAATGATAAATTTTATAAACACATTAATTTATAATTAGATTGTTGAGATCACGATCTTATTTTAAATAATAAACAATAAGGTAGGTCCTTTAAATTTATTGTATTACACACATTTTTTTTTTCTATCAAGTTCCCACTTCAATTTTCCATAATCCGTTCTTGTAATACAATTGAAGGTATGAAATTAATTGCACAATTACACAATTTTGTTTAATAGTTCATCTCATAATATAAATTCATTAAACCCACTATTGCATATTATTGGTGTAAGAATGCATATATTGTTATGCATCAAGAGTTGCTGAGTCTTATTTTCTGTGCCACGAATATCTTGCATGATGGAAAATATAACATTAGTTATTAGTATATTTTCATTTATGTAGAAAATGTGGAATAGTTTTTTTAATAAAATGAAATGATATTGTAGCTGAGAGGGGAGTTTTGTGCCATGCAAAAGGGGTCGAGCTGTCCATGTGATGGGCCGAGCTCGACCCACCGCTTTGTGGTTAGCTGGGCCAAACTGGACTTGAGTCTTCCTTGCCGAGCTAACCGAGCTCCCTCTTACCGGTCGAGATGTTCTTCATTTGGATAAGCGAAGCCAACCGAGCTGTGTAGGATTGAGTAGAATTGGGTCCTTGCTGGAGGACAGAGGTGGGGAATTTGCATGTCTCCAACCGAGCTGGGCTGTGAGTGGCAGCACGGCGCAGGACTCATGGGTGAGGATCACGGTCCTAACTGAGCTATTGCTAGCTCGGCCAAGAGTGTCTCAGTTGGGTGCTTCTCATGCCCCAACGGTTTGTGGGGGACAAATGGTGACTTATCCAAGTTAATGTTGATTGTCAGGTTGTCTACTTCTGACAAGTACATGCGTGTAAGGGAATAAAAGAACAGAATGCCCTTGCCCCAAGACAATGGAAATAATGCGCACTGCATGGAGAAGTGAGATGAGTTGTCTATAGAAGACCTACGAGTTCATTCTGAAAGGTAAGCAATCTTGGGCCAAAGAACTCTCTCATTCTCCTATATTCTTTGAAGGTGCTGACTAGACCGTTGGAGGGGTTTACTTGCGAGACACCCGTTGGTTAGCTCACCTCTGTTGTGTTTACAGGAGAGACGTCGCCATTCGAAGTGAGATCAATACGGAGGCAAGGAGTACGAAAGTGAAGAATATTTACTCCCTGTACAATTGGCGCCGTTTGTGGGAACTTCTTGATAGACAAAATCTTGTTCTTCGGGATTCTTTGGCCGACTTAAATGGTGAACAACGATGACCTTCCAATGTCAGTTGTTGACGGTTTAACACCAAAATACATTAGGAGGCGAGATGACTGGCCCTTCGTCTTGATGATGGCGAATCTGGGCACCCCCGCAGGCGGATTGACTAGTGAAGCGTGAGATAAACGTGCAAGGTGCCTAGAATGCTCAAGGGGTCCTGAAGTGCGACAACGCAAAGAGTCGCACACTCAACACTTGGAGAAAAAACTAAGGAGCCAAGACGCCATTATCTAAAAAATGGCAGCATAAATGGAGATCAATATAGAGGCAAGGAGTATGGAAGTGAAGAATATTTACTCCCCGTACAGTAGCTTAGTATTTCAATCGATATTGGAATTTCATAATTACTTTCACGATATTTAGAGATCCATGCTTAGAAGTGTTTGTAGGGTCACTTTCATGAAACTGTTAAGTTATATAATTTATTTTGACATTTATAAGTAATCAGAATATAACAAAAATTGATCGAAACTTTTTATTTGATATAATTACTTTCTGTATCATTGAGTTACTGTGATAATGTTTGGGCATCATTTGATTTTTTTTTCTTATAATTTGACTAAAATGTGTACATGAGGTACACTATTTTTTTTGATCTTCAGATAGGACAATTTATGCTTTAACTTGTCTAACTTTGCTTGGAGAGTATGTTGCAATATATCTTCTGTAATTTTTATTTCACAATCTTCTTATTTTTCTTCTTGCTCACAATTACAACTCATTGTAATAAAAATATTTTGATGAGTAAGAGTTTGAGGCGATATTATATTGTTCTAGATTTCAAAATCCATTTTCCCTCAATAATGTGATTTTATTTTCATTTTTATTTTTATTTTTTTGTGAGGAGAAAAAAAGTATAATTATTGTCGTGATGGAGGTGTTTTGCAAAGTCTTTGTTTGTTGTGGACATTTGTTTGTATGACATGTATATATATATGTATTGAACATAAGTTAATAGGAGAACAATACACAATTCCATAATTTTTTTCCTAACAAATATAACTATATTATTAAAGCGATACATGTTGGAAAATTAAAGTATCCAATGGTAATATAGTATTACAGATTGACAATGTATGAATACAGTAACATATATAAATTTACATTTATATATATATTTTTATATTTATATACGTAGACATTGACATATATAAAATATCATAAGTAATATGTGAAATCCTTTGTAGCAATATAATACAGGTAATAATGAGAAGTTAATTATTCATAATTAAATAGTTGGTCATAATGTAGATGCTTATTGTCACATAACAATTGAAGGGAATTTGTGAATCATTTGTGTAAAATTAGAGATTAGTGAAGAGAGATTTAAAAAAATAGAATTTTATAGTGTTTGGTTTGATTTGTTTTTTCAAACTTTTGTTTTGAATACTTTGGTTTTCATTTTTTTTGTCTTTGATACTGTTTTTTATTTTATTTTTAATAACCATTTTATTTCCTTTTTATATTCACTTAATTTAATACTTTTTCTATTTTTTAATTTTACTTTTGGATTTAGATTTACTTAATCTAAATACACTTAGAAAATAATTTGTTGTGTATTCTTTTTAGAAAAAAAAAATATTAATATTAAATAATAATAACAACAACAAAAAATATATATAATAATAAAATATCACTTCCTGCTTGAATTTATAAATTTTTTTACTAATATTTTACTTTTAATTCTATTTAGATTATTAGATATTAGATTTTCATGTGAAAGTATAATTTAAATATAAAACATGAAGAAATTCCAGTATCTTTATTCACCAAAACTGAGAAAATATGAAAATCAAAAATTGAAAAACAAATTTAAAAAATAAAACCAACAAAAGTGATTCTGGTTTAAAATTTTGACATCATACCTTGGTTATTAAAGTACCATGTAAAATATTACAGTTCATAAAATATAATTTAAAGAAAAAGAAAGCGTATGAAGATACCTTGCGAAATTTTGAGATGCTTCACAAATCTCTGTTTTAAAAAGGATGCGCTTTCCCCTGTCTAGATTCAAACGGATACATACAACTTTAAGATTCAACCAAAATTATTCACAGTGATTTGATCCATGATGGACAATTGTAAATATTATCTATGCCAGTATAGAAGCAGACATAGGAAATAAGAAAAAATAATTATTTTTTGTTCTTCAATTATCATCAATGTAAAAAATAGGGAGAGGGTTTGTGTTTGTGTTTGTTTTTTTTTTTTTTTGATAAGAAGGGAGACGGTTTGTTTATATTTATATAGGACTCTGGAAAGTAGATATATTTTTTTTCAGTATTCAACTCCAAAAATGAAGAGATAGTTGGTTTGTATATGATTCTTCATGACTTTTAGAAAATATAGTAGATTTGAGAGGGTAAAATTGAGATTGGCAGGCTCTTTACACTTTTATAATAGTAGTAGATATAGTAGATTTGAGAGGGTAAAATTGGGATTTTAAAAAAATAGAAAACATGATAGGTTCTTCACACTTTTATAATAGTAGTAGATGTATGTAGGTACGTACATTGATTGATACAATAACATTAAAATAATAAAGGTAACTTGACCTAATTTATTGATTTTTTATTTGCTCATTTCTAATACTGTACTGCATAGTTTGATTGATGAATTTAATTAAAAATATTTTATTTGTTAAATTTGCAATTTAGGTATATATTATATGATATACACGACACCTATAAATATTGTATTTCAAGAGTGTACGTGTAGTTATTTTTGTAGAAAAGATTATAAGATTCCATCACTGCCGGGATATTTGTACCCTCAAAAACAACCACCTACATGCATATGTAGTTGTGCCCCTAGAAGTAAGCATTGGTGAGTTGCCATGTCCTACACTACATCTAGCATTGGTGAGTTGCAGTACAGGTTTTAGCTTGCTGAAAGTCAGTTTACATTTTTTTGTTTATAACCTTGAGGTTATGGGTTCAAGTCTCGGGGCAATCACTTTGTGCACTATGTTAAAGGTTAGGTGTGTACCCAATCTTTCTCCTCCCATACACACATTAATGTGTATTAATTGGGCGTTATTTTTTTTTATATTCATTTTCCCATGCAAGGAAGGGGGGGGGGGGGGGGGAAAGAAAAAGAACTTGCATATATGAAAAGTGCCATCTTGCAGTGGGGAAAGAAGAATGACAACTAGAAGGATGATTGTGTACTCATTTTTTTAGGGTGATCTAATACACATCATTCCAGACCAGAATATGGTCTTTTGGGCTATGTGCATTACAACATTCTTGGTTTTTGTTTTGGTTGTATCAGGATGTTTCAATGAAGGTCATATCATTTTCTCAACAAGGATCTAGAGCTATATGCATTCTTTCGGCCAATGGAGCAATATCAAATGTCACCCTTCGCCAAGCTAATTCTTCTGGTGGTACTTTGACATATGAGGTGTGGACCTTTTCTCTTCCTTTTTCCTGATTTTTAAGGCTTGTATACAATTTTTTAAAGGGGTGACAGATGTGCAATAGACTCAAGCTGTTACATGCATTTTTAAGCTTCTTGCTGCAATTCTGGTCAGTGTAATGTATTCTTAGATTTTCATGTCCTTTCATATTTATGAGTGAGGCACAATCACTTAAAATGTTCTTTCTCGTTCTTTTCACAAATTTTTTAATAGCATTTTCTTCCTTCCAATCTTTATTTATTTATTTTTTAAATTTATTGGGTAAATTACAAATACACCCCCTGAGGTTGCTTAACATAGAAATTGCCTCATGTGGTTCTGAAAATTACAAATTCCCCCTTTTAGAATTTTTATTTAACAAAATTAACAGAAAAATAAAATTTCTAAGTACTATCCTATACAACAATAAAATTACCTAAATTGTTAATTGAAATATATTTATGATATCATTAAAAACTGTTAATTGACTTGGTAATTTTTTAATAAAGGGGGTAATTTGTTATGCGATTAGAAACTTGAAGGGGTGGGATGTAATTTCTAGAACTACAGGGGCAATTTGTATTTTAGACAGACCTCAAGGACCATATTTGTAATTTACGCAATTTTATATTTGACTTCTTTTGGAAATTGGAACTAAAAGCACCAGCAGACAGGCAGTCATGCTTTTAAGCTGTGATTGAATTGAAGTAAGTGTCCAAGAAGTTTTTTCTTTTCTTTTCCTTTTATATTTTCATGTCTCTCAGAAATAATTTTTCCTGAAAAATCAAGTACTGAGTGATATATTTATACATAAATATGTGCATACATCTTGAGTCCTATGTTTGATTTGTGCCTCACACTATGGGTTTTCCCTTGATAACCAAACTATTTGCCACCTTTGGTGTCAAATTGTGATTTGGGCCTTAAATAATATGATCATTGTGAAAATTGCAAGTATGATTGACTTCAACTATTTACCTTTAGATCAGAAAGGGAGAGAGCGGAAGGTGGGTACAATAACTGTGAGTTTTAGTTCAGTGTATTTTCTGAGAACCAATTCTCAAATTTGAAACTTTTGTACGCTAATCCAACCATTTTTGATATACCAAGCCCAGCAATTTTGCTTAACATCTTAACAATTGTTTGGTGCATTTTGTTTATTTAGCATCTCTCTTCTTTTCGGAGGGAGGAAAAACAAAAGTTTGTACCCAGTGCAAAACATGTAATTAAGTGGCATGTCCTTCATTTATATCCTTTTTTTCTTCATAAAAGCAAAATCATTAACACCTTCAGTGACAAGACCTTTACTTGTGTAGGCATTGATCTTCTAAGGTAGGTGATCAGTGTGAACCTCATGTCAAATTCAACCTGAAAATCAAGTACAAATGGTGCAGATAACACTTGATAATAATAGTCATTGTGCTGAGTTATATTTATCAAAAAAAAAAAAAAAAAAAAAAAATAATAGTCATTGTGCTGAGTTAGGTTATTGCACCTGCACAAGTGTGTGGTCATGTACTTCTGACTTACTCTTTGTTTGTTTTGGCAAAAAAAACATTTTTTGCTTTTTCTGAGGTTTGGTATGACAGAAAACGAAAGTTAACGCAAAATGTTTTCTGTGGTCAACATAAAACAAGCTTATCTGTGCATTCACTTATAAAAGGTTTAACATTTTCTGGATTAAAATTTGGGTAAAATTCATTTTACCCTTTTGTGGCTTGAGGCCAAAACACTTTACTCTCTTATGGTTCAAATATAGGCAAAAGGCCCATATGTGATTTTGGACCAAAATGCAACCGTTAACATTGTCTATAGATGTTAAATGGTTGTATTACCCTCAAATCCTATATATTTTTTGTTATTTTCTTTCTCTCTCCTCTCTCCTCTCTCCTCTCTCATACACATAATTTATAATGTATTACATTAATTCAATTAAATCACAAGTAATTATAAATTCTTAATTATTTATTGTAATTCTTAACTTTTTATTCTAATTCTAATTTAATTATATTTTAGATCAATTCTTAATTATTTTATATTTTAAATAAATTCTAAATTATATTTTATATTTTAGATCAATCTTTAATTATAGGGTTAAACACACTTTACCCCCTTGTAGTTTAACTCAAAAACATATTACCTCCCTATGTTTTAAAAATATGCATATAACACCCTTGTAGTATGGAGTAAAATACAAAAGTAACAGATAGTGTCTAAATTAACGGAGCGCGCGGGTAATGCAAGCCCAATTATGCGTGTGGCAGGCAGCAAATGTTTTGGGAGCATGACGCTTTTTTCCTAATTTTATTTTTCTTTCCTTTTCTTCTTCATTCCCTCATCTTCATTGCACAGAAGCAGCAGCAGACTCAGCCTGCAACACCACCATGGTTCACCCTCGATCTCCTTCCTATCATTTCGCTTTCCTTATCACTCACTTCATCCAACAACCCAATGCCACACAGACCCACTGCCACCATTCCCAATCACACCATCCAACACCACTATCTACGTTACATGAACTCGCTACATTTGGCGAAGTACCCGTGTCGACACAATACAACACGGGTATGGGTGCAGAATCCGGTCGGGATATGGCATGGAGAAAGTGATATGGTGGCATACCTGCGAGGCTGCGATTAGGGCTGAGATTAGGGCTTCAATCGTCTTCGTCAGTCTCTTCTCTTACTGTTGATCTCGATCTTCTTCGTCTCTCAGGGCTTCAATCGTTGTCGTCACTCTCTTCTCTCACTGTCAATCTCGATCGTCTTCGTCTCTCTCTTCTCTCACTCTCGATCTCCTCTTTGTCTCTGTTCTTCTCTCTCTCTTTGTCTATCTCTGTTCTCTCAATACAATTTATCATAAATAATATAATTTTTATGCCTAAAATAACAAATATTTATTTTATATATAATATAATTTATTTTATGGATAAATTTTTATTTGTTCTTTCTTTTTTATTTTTAACAGAATTTATTATTTCTTAACTTTTTAACATATAATAAATAAAATAAAATAAATAATCTAATTGTTTAAAAAAAATCTAAAAAAATTTATAAAATAAAATATATAGTTTTTATTTGTTATTTATTTTAACATAATTTATTATTCCTTATTTATTATAATTTTTTATTCATAATATATATATATATGTCAATTAAAAATAAAAAAATAAATTAAATAGATAAATTATTAAAAATATTACCAATAAAAATAATACGTAAGATGAAAAATAATATAAAAAATAACTATTTAACTCATTTTTACATAATAAATATATTTTAAAAATAACTATTTAACATATCCTCGTACTCATATCCACATTTGGATCTATATCCACGTATCTTCAATTTTTAGTTTTAAAATGTCCGACCCCCAATACACACCCGCACCCGATACCCACACCAGAGTCTGTGTAACGTAGACCACTATAGCTAATATATATATATAGATATATGTACCTAGCTTCAAAAGCAAATCTCCAAACAAATTTTCCAAATGGATCAGACCCCATTGGAATTAAAGGAAACATAGTTTTAGTTTCATACTTTTGGTCACACCAAATTGACTGTTCATATTATGTAGATAGTATATAGTGCATATATATGTATGTATGTATCCAAAAAATTATCTAGAGAGAGCCCAAGACAAACAAAAAATTTCAACTACAAAATCCTACCCGACGTTAAGTGGTTTTCTTAAGACTGCAATGAAAGAGGGAACTGGGTTTTGGTTTGAGGTGTTGCAGGTGACTGCTTCAGCTAGGATAGCCATGGCTTCTTCCATGGAAAAAGGGAAGGGGGAAAAAAAAATGTGGAAGAAAAAAAAATAGTGGTGGAGGAAAAGGGAGGAAAAGAAAAAGAAAAGGTGAAAAAAAATAGAGAGATGGTGGCTATTGGACATGGAAGCGGGGTGAGGGGAAGGATTGGTTAGGATGAGAAAGACTGTAGAGAAAAAAATAAGGGTAATTCAGACATCTTACAAAAATTATTAACAGAGTTAGAATTTGTGTATATTTTTAAACTACAGGGAGGTAATGTGTCTTTGAGCCAAACTATAGGGAGGTAAAGTGTAATTAACCCTTAATTGTATTTTAATTAACATATTAATCTAATTTTAGATTTGGAGAAAATTAGGGTAAAACTATCTTTTTGTTGTATTAATTTCATTTTATTTGTTCAGAAAACCAAACCCACTCTAAAAAATAGTATGCGTCATACACCTTCTGTTAGTTTGGGTAATGGTGGCACTTTAGTCCAACCACAAGGGAATAAAATGAATTTAACCCTTAAAATTTTACCAACATTACCACACTACCACCTCGTTACCACCACCCCACCAATCCCATCTCCACCTTCACCACCACCACCACCACCACTAATATAACCATTAGCACATTAATTCAAGGTTGCAACCAAACATAGGATAACGTTTTCTCCGGAAAATATTTTAGAAAACATTTTTTGCCAAAACAAATGGAGCGTTAGAAGAAGCTTGTTAGTTAGACTCATGATTGTTTTGTTATTATATTTCTCTTCTGTACACCTTACCCTATTATACTCCAAGCTGGACAATTATCTGAACTAGTGATATCAGTCAATTGGACAGCCTGTATCTATATATATAACATGGATAGTCGAGGCAGAAACCAATTATGGTTCTCATACCATCACCACAATCCTACTCCAGCATCCATATATCTATAGTATATCCTTCTTGTTGCGAGTTGGTTGTCAAGAATTAAAATAATGCAGTGATGATCATTTCTTATGTACAAAGACATTTTCTTCAGCCTTGAGTTTCCGAACTAATTATGAAATAATTATGTTGATAACTCATTTTGTCTCATTTTGTGGTTTGCAGGGTCGTTTTGAGATACTTTCCTTGACTGGAACATTTGTGATTACTGATAGTGGAGGAACAAAAAGCAGATCTGGTGGGATGAGTGTTTCTTTGGCAGGCCCAGATGGTCGTGTTTTTGGGGGAGCACTTGCTGGTCTATTAGTTGCTGCTGGCCCAGTTCAGGTTAGATTATATTACAAACACGAAAAGAAACTAAAATAAAAGCAGCCCTGCTTTCCAATATTAGATACTAATTGGCCATTAATTTTTTATTCTTTAATTTTTACTGTTAGTAATATCTCTACAAACTTACATTTTAACATTTTATTTATTTATTTTTTTGGTATATCTCAAAATAATGAAATGTTATATGATGGTTTAACCCCTGCGAGGAAAAGTGGCCCCCTTTGTCATTCCTGAAAGAATCACAATAAAACTTCCCTGTTTGGGATCTCAGCTAAAAATGCCTTTTTATTTTTTGGCTAATAAGCCAAAAAGCATAAGCTTGTTTTGGAAGAGCTAAAAAAAACAAAACTAACGCTCCGTTTGTTTCGTTAGAAAATGTTTTTCGCATTTTCTAGTGTTTGGTACGACGGAAAACAAAAGTCAACGGAAAACATTTTCCATAGTTAACGGAAAACAAGCATATTTAGACAGAAAATGTTTTCCATTTTTGAAAGGTGAAAAACATTTTCCGAACTAAACTTTTACCAATGCCACTACATTGCCACCACCACCATCACCTCCACCACCACACAATCACCACTACCATCATCGCTGTTGCTACCACCACCTCTTCCTCCACCCGCCGCCGCCACTACTACCACCACTAATGCAACTATTAGTGCATTAGTTTCAAGAATGCAACCAAACATCTGGAAAAAAAAAAAAGTAGTGTAGAAAGTGTTTTTCATTGGAAAATGTTTTCCGCTGAAACGTAAAAAAGGCTAAAAAGTTAATTTTCTCAATAACCAAAAAAAAAAAAAACACAAAACACAAAACAAAGAGGCAATTTTTGTAGTAATTCCCAAAACATTGGCTTTTTAAGATTTTGTATTGGGAAGTTCTAAAAAAATCATTTTTTTGGCTAAACAAGTCAAAAAGCCAAAAACTCAAAAAACTTGTTTGTCAAAAAGCCAGCAAAATTGACTGTTTTATGCAATTTCTATCCATGTTGAGAGAGCTGTGACTTGCATTACTTCTCTGACATTTACAAGTAAATCAGGTTGTGGTTGGTAGTTTTTTACCTGGCCATCATCAGGAGGAGCAGAAGCCCAAAAAGCAGAGGTTTGAGCATGCACCAAAATTTACTCTTACGTCTGGAGAAGGAACAGGGTTAGCCTATGGTGGACTACCAAAGCCAAACCTCACACCTCCCTCTTCTTTCCATGGAGACAATGTGGCCTCTCCAAACTCCATCCATATTTTGAAAAATATAGCCACTGAAAATGAAAGAACCTTACTTCGAGCTGAATCTAAAGACCCCAGCCCACGAAATTGTGAGTTTTCTTGGTGATCATGTATGCGTGGTGTACCTTTGTTGTAACTTGTATCTCAGCTTCCGTTTTTTGTGAACTTAAAGCGTAAAGCTGAATGTTCCCTCATCTGACCCCTTGATAAATTCATTGACAAAGTAGGGTTTAACATGAGGCCAGTTTTAAACTGAGAGTTGTATTTGTAGGAATTAGGTTATTCTGCATTTGTTGTCATTATATGTGTATCTAGTGTAGTGTCTTTTGTTGACAGAATTTTTTTTATGTGTATGACACCTTGTTTGTCATTCTTCTCACTTCTCGGTATGAAGAATTGGCTTTTAATAGGATTTTGTTTTTTGTTTTTGTTTTTGTTTTTGTTTTTGTTTTTTTAAATCAAGAATGACTTGTGTACTGAATCAAAGAATGTTACATGTGAAGTTATGTTATTTTGTAAAGCTTGTTAGTGTTCTTCCCCTTCTGGTTCGGTGACAATTTTATTTTATTTTATTTTATTTTTTTTGGGGGGGTGGTTTGGGGAAGTTTTTAAAGGGTTATGAAGTTTGGGCTCTTCTGGTTAATGTTTCTTGAATCAATTGCAGTTAAACTTCCCAAGCACACTGTTACAAATTACAATCACACATCACTTAACAATAAACATGGCCATTGATATTCATGTCAATTTCCAAGAATTATTTGGTATCAGAATCAATCATGATTTTCAGGTGTGAATTGTACTCCAAATTTTTTATTAGAGTTATGCTAGAGACACCAAATATTCTACCAAAAGTTTTACCAAATGTCTCACATGGGTGTGGGACCCACACAATGTGGGTCCCACGTGGGTCCCACACCCATGTGAGACATTTGGTAAAACTTTTGGTAGAATTTTTGGGGTCTCTAGCATTTTTGTTTTTATTATAGTATCAAAGTCTTCAACTTCACGATTTGGGCCTAGTTTTGATTGCACTAATTTTGTCTTTTAATTTTTTATATTGTATTAATTTATTATAATTTATCACGTCACGTAAAAAAATTGAATGGAAATTGAGGGCAAACAAACGAGATACAAATAGTTTTAGGGCTACATGAGCAGTTCTACTCACACAGAAAGAGGAGCGTAGATCTGTATACAAAAGTTGTGACTTCTATGTGAAGAAAAATAAATAAATAAATAAAATATTGAAATATTAAAATACAGCAATATGTTTTCTGTGAATAATTCTGTGTTCCATATTATGTGTAAGTAGAATTATTGGAGTTACATGAATCAATATTTTTGGTCTATTTGATAAATGGATTGGACTTGGGATTGAGGTTTGTTGGCCAGTCTAAACTGGCTAGTAACTAATATATTAAATATTTAATTTGTTTTATAATTTTATGAAATATATATAAATGCTTCTAGGTTAGGGTTCCATCTCTTCTGGGTAGAGATTCGTGGGGATTCGACTGATGGCTCCTTTTCATCATGCATTAACTGAACCGGATAAGCAAGCATTCACTCCCCTAATTTGTTCTTTGAGGAGAGTATGTTTGATTTGATTTTCAGAAATTTTATTTTAAAATTTTAAAAATAATTTGGTAAAACAAATAAAAAAATACTTATCGTTTTTACATATTTTTGTCTTTTGAGAGCCAGAAATAAATTTTAAAAATTAAAAAATATTTTTTTGATAATTATTTTTATCAATTACAAACCAAACAATGACGGAAGCATCCTCTCTCTCCTTTTTACCTAAACTTATGTCTCAAAATAATATGACTTACAAAAAAAAACCTACAGTTGCTTACAATTTTTTGGGGGGAAATTAAAAAAAAATATATATATATTTTTTACCTTTATAATAAAATAAATTTTAAAATTTTAATTTTATTAATTTAAATCTTTTTTTAATTTATTTTCAATCTAAACTATTTGTCTACTTCCGTTAAGTAAAACTAATAAAAAACAATTTAGTCATTAAACTTAATAGAAAAATGATATTTTAGAAATTTTATGTACACTTATATTGAGTTTAATAACAAAAATGCTTTATTTTCGCTAATTTTACTTAACAAAATTAAACGAATGATTTAGATTGAAAACTAATTAAAAAAATTAGAGGTTTAAATTGACAAAATTAAAAGCTCAATTTATTTTGTTACAAATAAAAAAAATGGAAATTCCGCCCCCCCTTCGCTTTTTTTTCATAACCAGCAATTATAATTATCTATTTCCCATGAAAAATACTATGAAAAATGATTGAGAGTACTAAAAGTGGTGCTCTAATAGCATCACTAATGATGTGACAGTGTGTTATGTTTTTTTTTTTTTGTCATTCTCAATGCATTAGTGCTATTAGTGGTCTTTTTTTTTTAGTGATATGAATCATCAAAAATGCTAGAGACCCCAAAAATTCTACCAAAAGTTTTACCAAATGTCTCACATGGGTGTGGGACCCACATGGGACCCACATTGTGTGGGTCCTACACCCATGTGAGACATTTGGTAAAACTTTTGGTAGAATTTAGCATTACTCATGAATCATTGTTGAAATACTATAGACTCAGGCAGAATATTTAGAAATTATCTTGAAAAGTGTGTCACACCCTAAATGAATTTATTCCGTATTTTTTATTTTCAAAATATTTTTTATTAATACATGGCATTGCTTATTTGTCACCTTTTTTTTTGTTTTTTTTAAGTCTTGCAGGAGTACCCTTTCACGTCAACGTCTAAGGTATAGGACTAAAAATTCAAAATCACCATCACACCATTCTCCTCTATAGTTGTTAATTACAGGGACTAGAGCTCTCCATCAGCTCCGAAGTTTCAAAACCCTTTTGATTTGTTCTATGAACAACCAACCAGAAAACAAACTTGTCATCACAGAATGAAAAAAATTCTAAAAAATGTAAAGATAATTTCTTCTAGTTAAAGCAGTCATTAACACAATCAATGATATCATCTATCTTCCCACAAGAAGTAATAACAAAAGTTGTGAATGTAGTGAAGACTTCAACTTTTCTCTCCCAATGGACCTTCTGAATTGATTTCTCACCAACCAACCCATAATTTCTGATTCTTACCAAACAAACACCAGCTGGGCAATTTCGCTGTTCAAATAATTGCCCTGATTTTCTGGGTTTTAAATGGCCTTTAAATTCCAAGAACGCATGTTGCATGGTTGACCCTAAAAAATGTCAGCTTGTGAGCTGTACAAGAGAGGCCCAAAGTTCAATATGTTGTTATATAATATTATGCCTAACAAACAAATATGCCTTTTTTTTTTTTTATTTGTTAATTACACACTCTTATTCTATCCATGTGATTGATGAATTTAAAAAAAAAAAAGAAAAGAAATTCAAAACTTTGCAGCTCTAATGGATTTCTGCTCAATTTTCTTCTTCATTATCTCAATTATTCAATGCACTAAATAGAGTATAAATGGTGAAAGTACAAAGGAGAATGAAGAAATCGATTCCTTATCCGGAACTCCAATTCTCTACTATATGAAAATTTCATTCTTTGCATAAAACTACATATAATTGTTACAAAAACATATCCAAGCAAGAAGTGAAACCTCATTTCTCATGCTATTTTAAACAAACTGTGTCTTTATTAGACTAATAGAGATGTCCTCAACTTCTCTGCTTTCCAGCCTCTGTTGATCTTATCAATGAACTCTTCTACTCTTCTCCTCAGCTCATCATCATCATCGTCTTCTTCTTCTTCTTCTTCTTCTTCTTCTTCTTCTTCTTCTTCGTCCCCTTTTTCTTCATCAACCAGTGCTTTTTCAGCACTCAACTCACTAACAATTGTCGATGCATTGTCGTTGTTCAATGAACAACTAGTAATTTCTCCTTCTACATCGCTATTTTTGTTTCTATGGGAAACAATTGGGGGAGGAATGGGACTTTCTTGACCAAACTCTGAATAGGGTTTGGAGCCACCAACGAGTAAAATGCCGATGATCAAGTTGCAGAAGCAGAAGACGACGAGAGAATTAGAAGCTGCCAAAGTGATCAACTCAATTGTGGAATCTAACATGGTTGTTTTGTGGTATAGAAAGAGCAGAAGAGAAATTTGAAGAACAAAAACAGGGGAGAGAGAGATGGTTAGTTAGTGATTCTTTCTGCAGACTGGGAGGTATTGAGTCTTTATAGTCTTGGTTTTTTTGTTGTGAAAAAAGAGTGTTGTGAAAGCTTTTTGTAGAGCCGAATTTCAAATGCGGTGTGGTGTGAAAGCTATTGAACGGTGACATATCATCATATATATATACCAACAATGATTCATCCCACTAAAAACATCACCACTAATAGCACTAATGCATTAAAAAAGTAAAAAAAAAAATGATTCAGATTTAGATTAATCAAACCATATATAAAGCTCAACAAGCTGTTGCTGCATTACTAAATGTTATTTCTAATGATTTTATGTTCTTTATTTTAGAAAACAACAACCTGCATTTCTAACCTTGAAATTGCACAAGCTATCTTCATAGAAATGAAAACGATTGTAACAAATTGAGACAACAAAATACCATATTAATTTAAAAAGAGAAGCAAAATGGCTTATAGTTTATTCAAAACAATAATGGAAGGTATGTTCAATAAAAGACATTACCATGCTTATGAGCAGTATCAGTATGTTCCTTTTCCACAAGATCTGACAAATATTCAGTGCCAATGATATGGCCATCACTACTCAAACGAAGCTGCAGAAACTCTCAACTAATTAGCAGAAACATGAGAGAGAGAGAGAGAGAGAACAAATGAAAGACATAGAAATTAAATAATCTATTAATAGTGTAGCTTATCTGAAACAAGCACAGGATACTGAAAATTAGCGCTGCTGCGTATAACATAGCCAATGCCATGTCATCATCTTTTTTCATTTACATATAAAGTTGTACACAAACTCAATTTCAATTATAATAACTAATTTTATATGATTTCTATTTGAGAAATAATTATTTTTTATATATATAATTATAATTTAATTATTATGATATTCAAAAAAATTATCTCGATATATAAATAAATAAGACAGAATGTACTTAATTATGTGTATTGCACAAATTAAATTAATCTTCTTTTATATTTTTTACTTTTTGTCTATCTTATTCATGTCTTAATATTAATTTATATTTAATTTTTTATTTAACATGAAATTATTTATTACAAAATATTTATATTTAATTTAAATTTTATATATTCATATACAATATGTATGAATAATTCAAAGAAAAAATATTAAAGAAAAAAATCAATACTCTACATAATTAATTTATGTATTTTCTTCTTTATCCAATCACAACATTTTTATATTTAATCTTTAAATAAATTTTGAGTAATTCTATTTTTACATATTTTTATTTTCTAAATAAATATAAAATTAAAATTAAAATTAAATAATTAGAATAACTTAATTCCCTTTCTATTTAACTATTATTTTTAATATCAAAATGAGTGTTTATTTTAGGAAAAATTAGTCTAAGGTCCTTCTTTTATTTTTAGTAATGGAAGAAATCCACAATATTATTTTATGATGTCTAAAGTTCATCAACCCCACACCCATATATTACCGAGAAATTTGACTTTATCAAGCACAAAACTTGCTACAAAACAAATCACAAAAAACGTGAAGTTCATGTTTTTGATCATCGAGATTGCTCCATTATCAGCACCGCTTGACCCTCTTGAGCACCCCGAAGTCATATTTCCACTCGTCGAACTCGGCGTCGGAGACTCAGTGCTACTCATAGTCCCAGCCAGAGTGGTATTATTACTCTGTGAAGCCTTCACCAAATCCAAAGTCACCTTAGCGTTCAGATTCGCCGGCTAGAACTCATGCTTGTTCAGAAAGCCGTTTATGACACAGCCGCCGACCTGCCAAACTTGATTTGTTGACGAACTATTCATCGGCAATGTGAGAGTCGCGATGATCTTCATCGTTCCGCCGGAGTACTCAGTGCTCTTCTTGGGGACTTCGAAGGCGATCTTCGATTGGACGATGGAGTTGTAGGAGCTAATATTGTACATGTTGGCTGACATCGAGCCGTTGGATTACTTGAGGGCGACGAGAACCTGTGCGCTGGCCATGCTGATTCTGGTAGGGTTGAGGGCCCAGGTGATCCAACTGTTAGATTTGGCCCGAGAAGTGATGAAGGCGATGGAAAAGGATGAAGGTCTAGTGGAAGTAGACACTCAAGCAAGGTAGATCTCTAGTTTGTTCAAATTTCTCTGGTAGGTCTCTAATTTGTTCAAATTTCTCAGGTTTGTTGTTATTTAAATGTCTTACAATCTAGAGAAAATTGGTCAAAATGAAAATGGTGATTGTTCAATTTTCTCTGGTTTGATAAAAAACACAGAAAAAATTATGAGCAAGCTAGAGAAAATTAGTCAAAACACAGAGAAAATTTTCCAGATCGAATTTTCTCTAGATCGATGTTGAGGGACCTTAGATATTATAAAAATATTAGGTGTCCTTTATGTTATAAAATTTTAATACCAAGACCCAAAAAAAAATCCTCATTATTTTACTATCTTATAATTTAATATATATCATATAAAATTATTATATGATAATTACACTTTTATAGCATAATAGGACTAAAATTATCAAAATAAATAAATAATTTAACTAAATTTATTATATTTAAATATTCAAGTAGCACTTTTATAGAACGATAAAGCTAAGATTATTAAAATAAATAATTAAAATTAAAATTTTATTTTAAATTAAAATTGATATTATTCTTTTATAACTCATATCATAATATAAAATATCATTATATTAATTAAAGTTAACACCATTGTAATTTTATGTCAGAAATTATATTTCTAGAAGTGATTTACATATACGTGTAACTTCCAATTTGATATTAATTGATTAAAATAATAAAACTCAATACTTTTTTTTTTTTAAGTTTGTAGAAGACAAATTGATAAATACTGTGTGGTATTATTCTAAAGAACAATGATTCACGAAATGATTGTATATATTTAAGGCACCTATCGATGTTTTTTGAATAATTTTTAAATTTATAGTATTATTGATAATATACATTCATGAGCTCTGCTAGAAAATACATGCAACAATAATTTGGCTGGAATAAAAAAATTTGCGATTATTATGATATATCACATAATTAATTAGAGTCCCTTTGAGAATTGAAATTATTAAAATTGAAATTATTAAAGTTATAGAGATTTTGTGCCTGATTCTCTTTGAGGATGCCATTTATGATTTGAATTTGTAATTTTTTATGTATCAATATGAATAATTTTTACGATCTTACTGATATAAACATAAATCTTACATTTGAGTCAACTCATCTTAAGCACTTTTTCGTATAATAAAATACTTAAATATTGTCATATAAAATTATTATAATAGATCATAATTAAACACCATTTGAAGTAGAATTAAAGACATGATGCACTAGTTTAGATATAACAAAAAATATAGGAAATTAGTAAAGGCATTTTCGATTAATAATCAAAATAACACACCATGAGTTATAACCAAGTTATAATTTCTATATTATAGAATTTTCTGTTGTTTTTATTTTTTTCAAAAAAAAAAAAAAATTGTTTTCATACAAGTGAAATTCATGATTTTTTTGTAAATTTGATTAACACAAATGAAAATTTGATTTTAAGTTGAGAATACATTTTTTTTTTTTTTTTTAAATAAAAACTTTGAATGAAATTTTTTTATGAACCTTTTATATATGATCACAAATAAAGTGTCAAAAATTTTAATTAGCCATTGACAAATCTATTTATATTTGACTTTCAATTATTAAATTCTTTTACATAAAGTATTAAGACTCGAAATTAAATTTCCAATTTAAAAATAAATTTCCGTGCACCCCATGCGTGCACTACTAGTTGAAATTATAGCTTGGAGATGAAAAATCTTGTTTCTTAAAAATCGAACCGTTAATTTCTTAATAGGATATGTAAATTATGGTCATGTGACCTAATCCCAATCACTATCTAAAACTCAATTTGGGGATGAGGGTCCCTCCGCTTTTTTTCTTTTTTCTTTTTTTTTTTTTAATTTTTTTATTATTATTTTAACCGTTTTCTTTAATCCTAAGCTTGAGGAAATTTTCTATTTGAGATAGCTTAAGTAATTTCTTATCTTTATCATTACAAAGTTCTCTTCATCATTACAAAATTCACTTATAAAAATTAATTGATGAGTAGGAAGATCCACAAAGTTACAAGCATTTGACATTAAAAAAATTGACAATTATAATTTCTTCTTAAGCAACATTTTCTCACATCCTTAGGTCTGTGTACTTGTACTAGGAGTAGCAACTTCTCCAGTCCAAACCAAGTTTGTTGTTTACCTACTCTCCTTTCACCTTATTGGTTCTCTACTTTGGACATCATTTGTCACGACCCGAACCCGTCCCCATGGGTTAAGGACATGACCGGTCAGTAATTCTGGGATTACCTATGGCCTCAAATCAAACCAGACATAACTCATCAGAGTAAAGGGGCCAAACGGAAGGAAAATTTAAAACTTTATCCATAGAGCTGTGCTTACGTGGCACATCATTACAAACCATGCATATACATGTTAATAACTCACATCAAAATATGTACTAATACAAATAACTCTGTACATACAGGATCATTCAGTCTAGGTCAGCCAATCAAAACTATATACAAACAGAAACCAAGGTCCTCGCTAACATGACAAAACAAAACAAGATAGCAAAAGGGCGAAGACAAGTCTCGTGCGTGAGATGTAAGGGCTGACTCTTCAAAACCTTGGTTGTTCCACACGGACTTCATTGAGGCTGGGTTGGGACCTCTCTTGGCTCACCTACAAACACAAGAATGAGCGTGAGCGAAAGCCTAGTGAACAATATCAATGAAGAAGTTACACAAATGGTATTTAGAACAACATGTTTCAAACGCCCTTGGGCCCAATTCGCATTTCTATCCAACATATGTACAAATATAGGTCAAGTGATTGCGGTTCCAAACACATCATATGGCCTCGGGCCCAATTCATTCATGTCATACGGCCTCTGGCCCACTTATCTTTCATTCCTATCAAACTGGCCTTTGGCCCAATTCATACTTTCATGTCAAACCGGCCTTTGGCCCATTCATAATTTCGTGTCAAACTGGCCTTTGGCCCATTCATTCTACCATGTCAAATTGGCCTTTGGCCCATTTATTCTATCATTCAGATCATACTGGCCTCTGGCCCATT